CGCCTGCCCACAGCAGGGCTGCCTTCCTTGCAGCTCCTGGTCCTGCACAGCAACCTCCTGGTCTCGGTGCCCGCCGGCCTGGCCCGCCTCCCGCTGCTCGTCCGGCTGGACCTGAGGGACAACCAGCTCCGGGAAGTGCCCCCCGAGCTGCTAGACGCCCCCTTTGTGCGCCTGCAGGGGAACCCCTTGGGCGAGGCCCTGCCAGGCTCCCCCAGTCCCCCAGGTAGGCTCGCTGCTGGGGAGGGCAGACTACAGACAGGACACAGGCACCGTCCCCATCCTAACGGCGTCCGTCCTTCCACAGGGACACCTGTGGTCCCGGGAATGCCCAGGCTGTTCCTGACTTCAGAGCTGGACAGGTGTGTGGATGGGGGAGGGGTGGGGCCAGAGGAGCCACCGGACACCTTACCCGTGCTCTGGGGTCTCCTAGAGGCCCCCAGGGGCCAGGCTCAGACCTGAAGCCCCTCCGGGTCTGACCTGATGCCTGCCCTGTCCTCACTCAGCTTCCTCGTGACCCCCCAAGGCTGCTCTGTGACCCTGGCCTGCGGTGTTCGCCTGCAGTTCCCCGCCGGGGCCACTGCTACCTCGGTCACCATCCGCTACCGCCTGTGGCTGCCGGAGCCCCGCCTCGTGCCCCTGGGTCCCCATGACTCCCTGCTCAGCGGGGTCCTGGAGCTGCAGCCCCACGGGCTGGCCACGGGCCCGGCGCTGCCGTGAGGTGGTGGTGAGGACCCTGAGCGACGACAGCTGGAGCGACCTGGAGACCCGCCTGGAGGAGGAAGCACCGAAGGTGAGGCTCCCTAGGCCTGCCGGGAGGAGCACGGGGCGGTGGGGGGGGTCCTCCAGGACCTGACTCCCCTCTGACCCTGTTCCCTCTGACCCATCCCCATGCCCAGCGGCTCTGGGCTCACTGCCAGGTACCCCACTTCTCGTGGTTCCTTGTGGTTTCCCGCCCTGTGTCCAACGCCTGCCTGGTGCCACCAGAGGGGACATTGCTGTGGTCCTCGGGGCATCCGGGGGTCAAGGTCACCTTCCCCCCTGGAGCCACCGAGGAGCCTCGTCAAGTCCGAATGCAGGTACAGACAGGGCAGCCGCCGGGGGTGGCCGGG